ACGCATTGCCCGTTTCAGTCTGTAGTAGACCATGTGATCCGGGACACGTCCAGCATTTCAGATCAGCCTGCTGCTGGACTTGTGTTGCATGTAAAAGAAATGACGTCATAAGGAACAACACTTGCCTGTCCTGTCATCTGACGGCAGTACCAGACCCCTCAAGGAGATACTGCAACGCATTGCCTGTAAAAACTATTGCTATGTACAAACACATCTCGGTAACTATTCTCTCCGTTTCAATCCTCGGAATATTTGCTACGTCTGCAGTAGGGGCCTTGTTCTTGAAGAACTTCGACCGGCGCATCGTCAGGGCATCAAGCCGTGAATTATGCCTTCTAATGCTTCTAGGCATAATTTGTGCGTATGCCTCTCCAATCGCTTTCATTATCAAACCCAGTTCAATGGTCTGCAACTCACAACGAGTAATTGTTGGCATTGGTTTAACTTCGTGCTACGCGCCGCTGCTGTTGCGGACTAACAGGATTTATAGGATTTTCAAGAGTGCCAAGACCACAGCCTCTCGTCCGTCCATGATCAGCCCTCGATCTCAAATTGCCATGTCAATGGGGATCTCAGGAATCGGCATTTTGATCGGCCTCGTATCGATTCTTGGGCGTGATTCACAGATTAACACCGCATACCCAAGTCACAGGGAATTCGTCGTTCAGTATTGCGAGTTAAATGCACAGACGATGATCGTTAACTTGTCCTTTAGCTCAGTCTTAATGATTGCTACAACATGGTTTGCCTTCAAAACGAGAAACTTCCCAAAGAACTATAATGAAGCAAAGTACATTGGGTTGACAATGTACGTTACATGCCTTGTTTTGGCAGTTGTATTGCCGCTGTTCCTGTTTATAAATGACGAAGAAGGGAAATCACGTACATTGACTTTATGCTCCCTTTGTTTGATAACAGCATCAGTCAACTTGCTTGGACTGTTTGGCAATAAAGTGAAACTGCTTGTGTCGAAAAATGCCGTCGAAATAGATACAAACATTACGACGTTGGGAACCACAAGAACCAATATACAAAGAATTGGAGTTACGGTCAGTTTTAATGACAAGACTGAATTTAAGGGTGAAACAAGCAGCGATCGGACAACAATTACGCCAACCGCGTAACTGTGCTCGAAATTTCAGAAGAACGATACTGGGCTTAGTTGAAGCATCATTTTGCAATCAGTAACCATCTATCATAAACTGAGCCCTAAAAGGACAAACAATTAACAAACCATAGTATTTTTCTTTCTCATCCTTAAGAAACTGCTCGAAAATCTTTGTTTTAAAGATGGGTCGGAAATGATTCCTTTATGCGATTAGGTACCAATTTTCTGTTTGACAAAGATAAACAAAAAGAAGTGCTCCTTTTGACTTAGTATTTGTACGAATTTGGTATTTAAGGAACCTTTAAGAAACTTTTAACATTGAAATTAACAAAAGGAACTGCGTGCTTATCCCGAGTTCAGTTTTTTATAAATGAATTACACAGTTAAACATGTCATTGGTTGTTAAGATAGAACTATAGCCTTTTAGCAAACAAGTATTGATGATATGAATGCTGTCCACCAGGCATCTTAGCTTACTTTGTACCAAAATGGTAATCAGCTAATGAGGTATAGGCAGCGATGATCACAAAAACCTTCTTCTCCTTATATGTCAAACGAGCATATAAAAATACTACTCGGATGTAATTTGATTTCCTTTTTCATTTACGAAATACTTCACATCAATAAACTGCATCTCAAAGATCTTTATCTTGCCATCATTATTGGATAAATATGAAATTTCTAAAAAGTCTAACAAGAATATGTTATAGCAATACATGAATAACCAGTAAAAAAAATTACCCCAGTGACTGTAAAAAACTGAAACAACACACAAACTTACTGAAAAATCTTCAGTACAGACATCTAAGTCATTTACCAAAAAATACTTTAAAAAGGATGAAATCTTTTAGGATTGATTTTGGAATGGCTACATTTTATTGTATTTTATCACCAAATCGACAACCTCACTGAAAAGGACTTAATAAGACATTCAAGTGCTTCATAAAGACATGAAAACTGTTCGAGGCTTATTTAACTCGTTTTATTAAAAACAGGAAACAGAGTTTATAAATCCTTTAGAATACCATGGAAATAAGCAAGCTGTTTCTTGTATTACACGGGATCTACAACGTCTGTTTGTCCAAAAAATATTGTAATATAGGTACTTATTTCATTTTAGGTCAGTCTTGCGTTTATGCTTATATTTGTTCATGCTTATATTAGTCTGTCACGTGTTAGTTTTTCATGTTTTCCGGTAACGTAATATTTTACATGCCCTTTTACCCTACAAAGTTTCCCCGCGTATCTTAATATATCTAACACCTCCTACTAGTTCATTTACCTATTGCACGATAGATACCGACAATAACAGCAGCAATTATTGATGTTAGTTTGCTATATTGTAATGATGTTATATAAAGTAGAGTAAGGAGAAACAGAGTTAGTTAGAGAGAAGCGTGGTGCTTGCGAAAAGCCACTGCTGTCAAACATGTAGACACTCACTCGCACACACACAAAGAACGGTCATGGATTGTAAGGCTAAGAAAGGGCTGATGACATTCAACCTGAGTGGCTTGTGAAAGCACTCGAGGTTTCGTTTCATATATATATAATTTAATGGCGTAACAGTTCTTGTGAAAGGCTGTTTAGTACCTAAGTTTCAATATTGTATAAAAGGACGTCTTAGCTTTGGATGGAATAAAAGGAATTGATTTTGTGTGTAAAAACGTGTCGTTTATTCGCTCGGTCAATCGCTCATACAACGGATGGTGTCAGAAGTTTTACAATTATGTATCAGTAGCAAATTTAACAATGGTGTCAGAGATGGGATGCACAAATTGTACGAATTGTTCGGGATTCACGGATTGTTCAAATTTTACGAGATCTTTGATTGTGCAACATGTACGAAGCGTTCGAATGGGGCTGGAAACAGACCCGAACCCAAACTTTTGAAGACTCAGCTCGGAGAAGCATTCAGCTCTTCATTTACTAAAAGCGACGTCTATATGTCATGTGAGCATACCAAGGTGAATACCCTAAAACAGCATTTGAAGAATCTGTACGTGAAGAGAGCATGTGTTTTTACGATGGAAGGCAACGAACAGCTGTTCATAGAGACGATGGTTCACATACCCTAAATACCATCCAGAGATGCATAGTCAAACCAAACAGTAGCTGGCAACTATTTCAATCACGGGACTTGTCGATTTCTATTTTACGGATACAAAATATTCATTGGACGTTTAATTAATTTTTCATTAGATTCACTTTAAGAATCGAGGACGATTCATTTTCCTTGGTAGGGAGGTATGTAATATAGGTACTTATTTCATTTTAGGTCAGTCTTGCGTTTATGCTGATGTCTATCTCGAGCCTTCTTATTCTGATGTCTATCTCGAGCCTAAAAAG